AGATTTCATCATTTGGGGTGTTATGGTCATGAGGGTTAGCCAGCAGCCTGGGGACTAAGGGGTTAACTGGACCTAGCCAGGTAGTAGTCAGCCAATAGAAATACAGGTAGGGATTTCAAACTGAGACAAAGGAATTTGGGGGTTTTCCCTCCTTTGTCTCTGGGCCAGTTTACTCTAGATACTAAAGGAGACGGAAGACATGTCTCTCTTCAAGAAAAAGACTTTTCATAATGTGTATGTAGGGTAAAGTTTAGATAAATCCATCAGGTTTTATTGTTTTCTGTTGTGGGACTTTGGATCTGATGTCTGCGCTGTTAGAAATGGGGTTTCTTCTTTTGTAACTAAGTTTTGGCTCATGGAAGTCCCCGTGAGTACAGTAGAGTCCCAATTATCTGACCTAAACAGGACCAACAGGTGGTCAGATTACCGAAAATGTCGCATGATAGGGACTCTACTGTAGCCGGCGCTGCTTGGTCCCCATCCCTGCCTGGCCCTGGCCCCTTCCCTCCCTGCAGCACCTGGGCGCGGGCCGGGAGAATGGCCCCTCTCGCTGCACTGTTGCTCTCCTGGAGCTGCTGATGCCGCTCCTGCCGCAGCCGCTTTGTCCCCGAGAGCTGCAGGGTCAGATAAAGCGGAATGTCGGATTACCGAAGCTCGGATAATCTGGACTCTACTTTATATTAATTGGTGCCTTTTTCCATTTAGTCATTATGCTTGCAACAGGAGTATTGTTTTGATAATAAAAGTTCTTTCTTTTTTATTAACCTGGTATTGGTTCAAGTCTGTGTCCCGGAAAATCTGTCTGTCTGTGGGATCTGCATGCCTCTGACTAGGGAGAAAGCAGCCATACACTGCAATTTGTATTTTTTCTTTTTCAGACTCTTTGGGGAAAAGAGCGTGGGGGGCCATGGGGTTGGTTTCAAGTGTCCACCCCTGTTTGTGGGTTCAAAAGCACTTGAAGGTGGTCCCCGGATTTTGGGGGGAAGTTATATACCAAAGCCTGGAGAGAAAGTTTTGGGGCACTTTTGCGGGCCTCCACTTCTGCATTCATTGTGCCAGAGTGGGGAATAAACCTGGACATGGGGCCTGCCACAGGATGCACCATTCACCACTGAGCCTTCTCCTCATCACTCTGGTTCTCAAGGCCAACGGCCCTATCCCATATGAATGACATCACATGGGAGTAGCTCTGGCTCTCAATTGTCCTTGCAACTTACTTCTTGTAGGGCCACTAATCACCATCTGACAGCTACAATGTTTGTCGGTGCCCTCTGGCTAAAGATACATATCACTGAACTAAAGCGTCCAGTTACTCCTGTTCTTCTGTTTTGGTGCTTATTTCTTCAGATAAATTATCTTTCATTCTGCATCAACGTACATGTGGCAACCAGCACTATGTGATGAAAAACACCATGCCCCAAACAATGTTATCCACTTGTGAATAGCACTATTCATCCAATAATCTGACAGCAGCTGTGGCAAGGTGCCCCAAACAACGTTTTCCACTTGTGAATAGCACTATTCAGCCAATAATCTGACAGCAGCTGTGGCAAGGGCCCTTCTCTTCCTTGTCAGCAGCTGGGCCAGCAGCCTTCCCCCATTTGCCAGGGGTTGGACTTGCAGTTGTTTTCTGGGGTAGGGAGCCCCATCACCCTTACTGTGACTCCCTCCCCTGCTGTTTCTAGCTCTGTAACTGCTAGAACTCAAACTCCCAACTTCTAACTAAGGAGGCTTTTAAAGGCCTCCAGCAGGACTAAAGAGGAGTCAGCTGGCCCCAGTCTACCTGGGGCAGTTCCCAGCCTGCTGCTCCTAATTGCCCTGCAGCCCTCCAGCCCTAATTAGCAGGCCCTCTAGCCTTTTGGGGCTGCCTTTTCCCCACTCTGTAGCAGCCCTCTGATCTGACCTTGTTACTCAGCTCAGAGCAGTAATTAAGTATTGTACCCATTTTACAGATAAGTATACTTATCTGATATAGACAGGTTTAGAGGCCAAACCCTTGGTCTCACTCTAATTTCCTTGCCCTGCCTGAGAGACATATAACAACTGGAAATTTGGTGGATCTGGCTCCCTTGTTATTCCCCCGGCATCCGGAATTCCCTAGAAAGAACATGACGACCAGGAACGCTTTATGCTAACCATACTTGCAGCCAGAGGGGAAAGGCTATGTAGACAGGTTACTTTGGAACTCCATAGCTTCAGGCTGCTGGAATGTCTCCTTCAGGCCACAGGCAAACAGCATAAATTAGAAGAGTAAAACCCAGGTTACTTTAAAGCAGTGGTCTCCAACCATTTTACACCCAAGATCACTTTTTAGTCAGGACAAGCCAAGATCTACCCCATCTCTTCCTCAAGACCCCATACCTTCCTTGAGGCCTCGCCCTCTCTGTTCTTGGCTCTTATACACTCTGAGGGTGTGTCTAGACTACAGGGTTTTGTCGACAAAACTATACCTGCGTCTACACTACCGCTGAGTTCTGTCGACATAACGTTGACAGAACTCGTTATTGCATCTACACTGTCCTTTGCGTCTACACTCTCATGTCAACAAAGCGGCTTGCTTTGTTGACAGAACTGGATGTAGTCTAGATGCTCTTTGTCGACAAAGCCTCTATCGACAAAAGCCTGTAGTCTAGACGTACTCTCAGGGTATAGCTACACTGCCAGTTTTTTCAATCCTTCTGTTGGAAGAGATTTTTCTGATATTTGGCCCATCTAGATTGGGCCAAATGTCAGAAAAACCCCTTCTTTTGGAGTAAGAGGAGTGGCAGGGCCTCCACAGGCTGGATCAACTCACTTGGCGGGCTGGATTTGGCCCACAGAGGCCCTTTTGCCCATCCCTGATCTAGCCCAAAGATGTAATTAGTTCTGCTGGTGCTACTGATTATATTAAAGGTTTGCTTGTAAGTAAAAAACCTTGAAATGCCCTCATTTTTATTTTCTGTTCCTGCTGCCATGCTATATATCGTGGTGAACAAGGAAGGGAATATTTTTTAATTCCTGGATTACCTATGTGTTGTCTCACACTAAGAAAATGAGTGATATTTTAACAGAGATGAGTTGTGAGGTGCCAAGGAATGCTTGGTTGGACATATAGCATTATCATGGCAACCAAGGGTAAGGCTTCCCATATTTGTATAGTAGGTGTGTTGAATTAGTAAAAACCATTCTGGATCTGGATTCTGATCTGAGTGGAACTGGGTTACCTAGCTTTATGAGTGATTGGCTGAACAACAGGACTTCAGGGTAGAAAAACAATTTTAGAGAAATAAGTTTAATCGCGCTTTGTGACTGATACAATAGAAAGTAGATGACCACTAATGTCAAAAGTCTGAGTGTGATATAATTTCATAACATAAGAATGTAGTTAAGAAAATCAGCATGTGTGGATAATGCCAAACATAATGACCCTACCAAAATATTAATAATATAACACATTTGATATTGAGTTAGAATATCAATGTGTTATAATGCTGGTGATAGGCTTTATGATATTGATGGCATTCAAAAGTTTGATTCATATGAGGGCTTTTTTCTGCATTTTTGGTACAGTGTTTCTTTGTTACATTTTTGTAATAACCTTTAAAAACCTGCTGCATCTTCTTGAAGGGTTAGTACATAATGACAATTTATAAACATTACAAGACCATTTTTCAGTCTTGCCAAAAAATCAAAATATCCCAGCATAAAAGAACCCTGGGCTAACCTTCAGTTTTCTTCCTGAACCCCACTTCCGAGCTTCATGTTTTAGGCTTCCAGTAAATCAACACTCTTCAGAGATCTTTTTATAAAATAAATCCTTATGGGCTTCATTTCTCTATTTACATTAAACAATTTTGTATTTCTAATGCTGGTCAAGTGCTCTTCAACAAATGCATTTTTCCGAGTTAAATGGGCTTCTGGGAATACAAATGATGCAGCCTCAGCCCTGAGTGCATACCAAACACAGTACCCATGGGACTAACAATGCTGAACGTAGGTTTCAGTTGGGCTTTAAATGCCTTTCAATGCATTCTGACTGTACATTTATATTTTTCATAAAAGCATTGCATTTTGTTTTTTCTTCTAAGTGCTGAATGCTGAGCTACATTATGGAGATTTTCTAAACCACTGAAATGAAGATCACTGGTTATACCATTTTCTACTATTCCCATAAATATTTGGGTGACACTTCAAATGATGGTAGCCATAAGTAGACCGTGGATTTTGCATGACAGTGCATAGAAACTCTATTAACCTATTGTATATTATATAGGAAACTAACAAACACATTATGTAATAGCTAGTACAATTCACTTTGCTTAAAAAAAGAATGGTATCTAACACTCTACACTTCTATTGAACAATGGCACATTTAATAGCTGCAATAGGTAAGAAACAGATGTGTGGACTTACATTTTGCACTCCAAATGTTTGCATGGTGTGAACCAAATTTTGATTATCTTATGGTCACACTTTCCTCCACTAAGATCACGTGATATCCGTGGGGCAAAACAAGCTCTTATATGCAAAATTAATATGGGGAGTAGTTAGAGTAGTCTCAGTTTCTTTTTAGGCAATTTAGCAGCAGGAAACAAGAAAGAGGAACCAGCAGCTGTGATAAGCCAGCTCTCTGAAGACCACCAGTAAGTTTTCTACCAACCACAATGTAAGACCTACTAGCTTAGTGGTCTGAGAATATGGTTACGAGCCAGGAACTCCTGGAAGACCTATCTGCACATGGCTCCCGTCAATTTCAACAGGAGTTGCAGACATACAGCTGACATGAGGCTGCCTCTCCTCCCCTCTCCCCCAAGTTCTGGTACTGGCTCCTTAGTGATGGAGAAGTCTGTATTTCATGTAGTTACATTAATCATTTCCGGTGTCTGATATTGGTTTTGCCCTGTAATAAGAAGGGGAGGAACTCAGTTTCTCACATTAATTATTACACAACTACGGTATCAAACTCACTCCCTTAAGGCAAATTTAACTTGGTGCCATTTTTAAGCTGTTAGAAGGAATACCTTGAGTTCAGGCATGTTAATTATAAGCTGTATAGGTAGTTTAACATCTGGATCCTGGGTATAGTCCATGGGCACAATGTTCGGTGCCATTTCATGGTATCGGCCATGCAACCTGCAAAAAAGAAGCCCTTTAAGTATATAATTCTATTCCATTCAGTAAACAGACTCACATTGTCTTGCTGTACTAGGCCCCATTTACTTTTATTTCCACAAGAGTCTAGCATGTAAGGCCAGAAGGGATCAACTAGTCTGACCTCCTACATGTCACATGCCAGCAACACCACTAGCACCGTAACCCCGCAATGGAAATGAGACCAATGGGAATGAGGCCCACAGATGACTAGGCTACCCAGTGCCATGGACAGAGAACAGGAGGGACCAAAGTGCTCAAGGGCCTGCAATGGTAGAGAATTGATTACATGAGATATACCTAGATAATTCTGGCAAGTGACCCACTCCCACACACTGCAGCAGAAAGCAACCCCCCAGGCCACGAACAATCTGACATGGGGGAAAATTCCTTCCTAACCCCACATACAGCAATCACTTAGACCTGATCATGTGAGAAAGAACCAAACAGCCAACCACCTGATAGAGAAAAATCTTGATGCCACCATGGACTCCCTGGCTCACCCTGTCCATCTCCAGCCACTGCCAGATGCATCAGAGCAAGGAGGTAAAAAAACTCTTAGAATTTATGCAGGGGAGGAGGGGTGGGTAGGACAGGGGAAGGTGGAATCCCATCCTAATCCTGGCCAGTGGCTGGCTCAAACCCTGATGCATGAGCTTTAGGAACATAAGATACAAACCAGAAGTGAGTTGGCCCACAGCTGTTGAGCCCAGCCCCCCACCATCACAAGCAATCTATTTGTCCAACTTGCTTTCAAAACTAATTGAGTCATTTGATTCACAACTTCTGTGAAGAGCCTGTTCCAGAAACTCATATCTCTGATGGTTAAAAATCTTCTAATTTCCATCCTGAATGTGGTCACTTCCAACTAATGAGCACCCAGCTTACAGAAGAAATTCTTATTTATTAGACCCTAGATAGATGCCTTTGCTCTTTGTGCTACTGAATTTCCTCCCACTGCTGCCAGTCCACTCTCCATGTTCATCCAAATCTTCCCGCGTAATATTCAAATCCACCCCTATGCTTCCCAATTTTGCATCAGTGGCAAATTTCATTAGCACACTCATATTTTTGTGCCAAGATCATTAAAAAAATTACTGAACAATATTGGTACCAACACTGATCCTTGAGAAACTACACTTGTAACTTCTCTCCCATACAATAATTTACCTTTCAGCGCAACCCATTGTTTTCTTCTCTTTAGCCAATTCCTTATCCATTTTATAGTGTTTTTACTGATCAACCTTCTATAATAGCATTAAATTAATTAAATTGAATTAATTTGCATGAGGTACTGTGACAAATGCTTTAGTGAAGTTCATACATATTAGATCTACAGGCAGTCCCCGGGTTACGTACAAGATAGGGACTGTAAGGTTTGTTCTTAAGTTGAATTTGTATGTAAGTTGGAACTGGTACATATTGTAGGGGAAACTCTAGCTAAACATTTCTCCAGAGCTCAGTTTTATTCTCCCACACCTCACTTCCCTCAGTCCTTTATTCTCAAGCTGAGGTGTCTGCTGAGAAAAGCCGCTCCGCGTCTCCCTGGTCTGCTGGGGGAAAGCAGCTAGTGCGGGGTTGCCTCACCCCGTTTGTAAGTAGGGATCCGATGTAAGTCGGATCCGTGTAACCCGGGGACTGCCTGTACTAAGCTTCCTTTCTTAAAAAATATTTTCTCAAAGAGGGAAATAGGATTAATCTGCCATGACCTATCTTTGGTAAATCCATGTTGCATTGTATCCCCTTTACCATTTAGAGCTATGAATTTAATTACTCTTGCTTTCATAATTTTCTCTAAAACCTAGACTACTCCACAGAGGAAAGCGCTTGATCTAATATTTAGCATGCAAACAGCAAGAAATGCTCTATAGACTCCCGTCAGGATGCATTCACAGGTGTCAGTGTACAATAAACTAGGTACAGAACAGGTGAGTCCATGGGAGAGTCAGGCGCAGCTTATAAAATACATCCACAAAGCAAATGGAGTCCAGGCACCATTCCTTAGACATATTTGTTGTGCAACTAGACAAGAACAGGTTCACCTAGGGCAAGTTTATTCAAATGATGTGACGTGATTCAAGAATAGGGTCATCTGGAATATATCTAGATTGCTTCTGGAAATGAGACTCCTTATCAAGTGCCCAGACTAGCAGGGCTCACACTAAAAATAGCTGTGTAGCTGTTGTAGCTAGGGCTGGAGTTTGGGCTATCAGGCCTCAGGCTGTGGTGTTTCAGCCTGTGCTGCAATATCAAGCAATGTTTAGCATCCTAGTGTGAGCCCCCTAACACTAGTATGTGGACCCAGGCTGGAAGTGACACAGACTCCCCTTGAGCCAATGACATGGGCAAAAAGGTGTTAAGAGACAAAGGATACATTACTGTGCTGGGGGTCACCCCAGTAACAATGGCATCCTTACTGGGGCCACGGATACATAAACCAAGCCCCCTTTTCTACCTGGACTCTTCACTGAGGAGATTTCAACCCATCAGCATAGCAATGAAATACAATAGTATGCAAAGCACACCTCTGTCTCACTCCAAATTACTGTTTTGCTCATCAAACTAATATATTGAAAAGCAACAGAAAATATTAGTTTTTTTCTCTCATACAAAGGCAAACCAAGAACTTCCTAACCCAAATTTCACTCTATAAACATGGCTTATGATGCTAATAATAAAATTAACGTGCAATAATTAATAACCACTCAGTAATTAATGGCTGATAATTAATGAATAATAATCAATAATAATGTAGTTGAGGGATAGAGTGGAGGAGACTTTTCGTATTCACTAAAACTTTGGCATCTGACAAAGTGGGTCTTTGCCCATGAAACTTATGCTCCAATAAATCTGTTAGGATATGTCTACACTACAATTATTTCAAAATAGTTAATTCAAAATAACTTATTTTGAAATAACGTGTCTACATATAAAATGCATTTTGAATTAGCATTTTGCTATTTCAAAATAGCATGTCCACACTGATTGGATGCTGAATCATATTTAAGGGCAGCTGAAACCAGTTCCAGCAGGGCATCAGGTCAGGAGTTACTTTGTGTGGCTGCTGCCTGAGGCTATCTGAGGCTTGTGCTTAAAGGGAGCCCCCTGGATAGCTGGTTCTCAGCTTTCCCTGCTTGCTTACCTACCTCGATGAGGGACAGCAAAGCATTTTTCTCTCTGCCTGCTTGGTTACCTTCACTTGGGACACCACAGCACTTGGCACCATGGAGCCAGAATTGCCCCTAGACACTCTGGTGCTTCTTTGGTATCTTTTGCTGCAAGCCTGGCAGCAAGTGCTGGAGACTGCCTGGCACCATCTGCATGGGTTGTTCTTATTCCCCTTTTTATAGATGGGCACAATATTTGCCCTTTTCCAGTCTTCTGGAATCTCCCCTGTCTGCCATGATTTTTCAAAGATCATAGCTAAAGGCTCAGATACCTCCTCTATCAGCTCCTTGAGTATCCTGGGATGCATTTCATCAGGACCTGGTGACTTGCTGACATCTAACTTTCCTACGTGATTTTTAACTTGTTCTTTGTGTATCCTATCTTCTAAACTTACCCTCTCTCTGCTTGTATTCACTATGTTAGGCACACCTCCAGACTTCTCGGTGAAGACCGAAACAAAGAAGTCATTGAGCATCTCTGCCATTTCCAAGTTTCCTGTTACTGCTTCTCCCTCCTCACTAAGCAGTGGGCCTACCCTGTCCTTGGTCTTCCTCTTGCTTTTAATGTATTTATAAAAGGTCTTCTTGTTTCCCTTTATGCCTGTAGCTAGTTTGATCTCATTTTGTGCCTTTGCCTTTCTAATCTTGCCCCTGCATTCCCGTGTTGCTTGCTTATATTCATCTTTTGTTAGTTGTCCTAGTTTCCATTTTTCATATGACTCCTTTTTTATTTTGACACATTCCTTAGACATATTTGTTGTGCAACTAGACAAGAACAGGTTCACCTAGGGCAAGTTTATTCAAATGATGTGACGTGATTCAAGAATAGGGTCATCTGGAATATATCTAGATTGCTTCTGGAAATGAGACTCCTTATCAAGTGCCCAGACTAGCAGGGCTCACACTAAAAATAGCTGTGTAGCTGTTGTAGCTAGGGCTGGAGTTTGGGCTATCAGGCCTCAGGCTGTGGTGTTTCAGCCTGTGCTGCAATATCAAGCAATGTTTAGCATCCTAGTGTGAGCCCCCTAACACTAGTATGTGGACCCAGGCTGGAAGTGACACAGACTCCCCTTGAGCCAATGACATGGGCAAAAAGGTGTTAAGAGACAAAGGATACATTACTGTGCTGGGGGTCACCCCAGTAACAATGGCATCCTTACTGGGGCCACGGATACATAAACCAAGCCCCCTTTTCTACCTGGACTCTTCACTGAGGAGATTTCAACCCATCAGCATAGCAATGAAATACAATAGTATGCAAAGCATACCTCTGTCTCACTCCAAATTACTGTTTTGCTCATCAAACTAATATATTGAAAAGCAACAGAAAATATTAGTTTTTTTCTCTCATACAAAGGCAAACCAAGAACTTCCTAACCCAAATTTCACTCTATAAACATGGCTTATGATGCTAATAATAAAATTAACGCGCAATAATTAATAACCACTCAGTAATTAATGGCTGATAATTAATGAATAATAATCAATAATAATGTGGTTGAGGGATAGAGTGGAGGAGACTTTTGGTATTCACTAAAACTTTGGCATCTGACAAAGTGGGTCTTTGCCCATGAAACTTATGCTCCAATAAATCTGTTAGGATATGTCTACACTACAATTATTTCAAAATAGTTAATTCAAAATAACTTATTTTGAAATAACGTGTCTACATATAAAATGCATTTTGAATTAGCATTTTGCTATTTCAAAATAGCATGTCCACACTGATTGGATGCTGAATCATATTTAAGGGCAGCTGAAACCAGTTCCAGCAGGGCATCAGGTCAGGAGTTACTTTGTGTGGCTGCTGCCTGA